GCTCCCCCGGTTGCCGATCCATATGATTTAGCATACTTATATCCACGTTCGTATGACAACGCAATACGGTGTCTTTGTCGAACGGCATAGCTCGTTCTGGGCCTCTCTATTATTCATGTTCACATTGAATACATCCCGCAAAATTCTGGTCTCCAACGTTCCAAAAGTGCATTGGGTGGCCCGTCCGCTTAACACTGACTGAAACTGTTCCAAGGATTCTCTAATGTGTTTTTTTCGTGCCAATAATTGGAATGTTTCATAGGTTTTATTCCGTTCTTTCTTAAACTCCGTTTCTATAGCATCTAATACCCTAGAATACGGGGTTGTAGATAATTCCAGATGTGGCCTCCTCTTTATGCAATTCACCCTGTCCTTTCTCCCCCAGGCAAAAGTACAAGTTCGAGATTAGAGTTTGCTCCGACGTCACTCGACCTTTCCCGTCTACCTCCTCCGGTAGTGCAGTAACCTGCGCTGCTGTTAACGTGCTGGCATAGTAAAAGTTCCTCGGGTTAATACTGTATTTGGCCACCATCCCCCATTGAAATCGGTTAAGCCAAAACTCCCATAGCATTGGTGGCTCTGCGAACGTTGAGCGCCAAAACGATGTAATCCCCAGTGAGTTTTCCCCCCCACTTTGGCCTGTTGGCTGCGCCATGAGAAAGTACAGTTTCGATAGGTTAATTGATCCAATAAGTTGAGTAACCGTAAGTTAGAAAGTTAGTCGGAGACAATTAATAAGCGGTCAACCAAAGGTGACAGACAACTCCGAAGGTTAAATACTAGTTAGCGCCAGACAGATAGATAAATTAAATAGCAACAACTAGAATGAAACTGTACTCGAAAGATGAACTAATTTAGATACTATGACACCATACTTTTAAACAACGCGATGCAATCAACCTTGTCAAAATGATAATTGATTTTTTTTTTGAAAATTACGAGCAGTTGGGTACGTTAAAGGTAAAAACATGTACCAAAAAAGATGAGGTAAACTTATATGTTTTGGCTTATAAAGTAGGCCAAAACGCTCGTCAATTTTCAAACAAAATCGAATGTCAATGTCTGCTCTCATTTATCTGGTCAAATTTGGAACAGTTTTTTAACTGAACTAATTTTTGCTCATTTTTGAAGATTTATTTTAACACAAAGGTTTATATTTCCTCAAAACAAGGTATTACTTCAAGTGTATGACTAATTACTAGCGTTTTTTCATAAGCTCCATGGAATTGTATGGCCAGAGTTTTCTGTGTGAGTGGTCAGTCCGGTGTCTGCAAGAGTTCGAATATGATGTAACGCTTAATCCACGTTGACTTTCAATTGCGACAGAATAGCAAAAATTGTTAAAAACCAAACTTTGGATCAAAAGAAAAGTATTCGGAAAAATTCAAAATAAAACAAGGAAAACCGTTTACTGTGCAAGTAGCACAGAATGTTCCGACCATGGTCTCACAAGTACAAGTTCGAGATTAGAGTTTGCTCCGACGTCACTCGACCTTTCCCGTCTACCTCCTCCGGTAGTGCAGTAACCTGCGCTGCTGTTAACGTACTGGCATAGTAAAAGTTCCTCGGGTTAATACTGTATTTGGCCACCATCCCCCATTGAAATCGGTTAAGCCAAAACTCCCATAGCATTGGTGGCTCTGCGAACGTTGAGCGCCAAAACGATGTAATCCCCAGTGAGTTTTTCCCCCCACTTTGGCCTGTTGGCTGCGCCATGAGAAAGTACAGTTTCGATAAGTTAATTGATCCAATAAGTTGAGTAACCGTAAGTTAGAAAGTTAGTCGGAGACAATTAATAAGCGGTCAACCAAAGGTGACAGACAACTCCGAAGGTTAAATACTAGTTAGCGCCAGACAGATAGATAAATTAAATAGCAACAACTAGAATGAAACTGTACTCGAAAGATGAACTAATTTAGATACTATGACACCATACTTTTAAACAACGCGATGCAATCAACCTTGTCAAAAATTTAGGGAAATTTAGGAAAAAAATCGAAAAAGATTTTATCCTAAAAGTATGTGACAAGCATAATTTTTGTTGAGGTTAATAGTCATTTAATTATTAAAAACTTAAATCCTTTTTTTTCGCTATTATCCACTAGTCTTAGAAAGTTTGGTGGATTAAAAGCTATCTGTTTGACTTTCTCTAAAAAAATGTTATATCGAACACCTGGAATTCAGCCGGTTTTTCTAATTAGCGAAAAAAGATTTTCCTACTTTAAAAATCTAGCAGTTACTGATATTGATCGAAAAATTCTTACTTGGAATAAAAATTAAACTTATGTGTGCCACGCCACCATTTCGATCAGCTAAACTTAATTCAATCACCGGACATAAAAACGCGACCGAGAAAAATTTTTCCAAAATTGGTGATTGAGCAAACACAGTAAAAGATAACCATAATAGATACTCATAGTTCAGAATGCCATGCAGAGGCGGATTTAGGAGGAGGGCGGACGCCTTATTTTTCAGGGATTCGACCCCCTACCGACCCAAAGGTCCCCCTTTGTACTATTTTGAGATATCCAAAATTGGTGACGGACCCTAAAAATTTTCTAAAGGCGCCAATATATACTTACTTTAAGGAGGAGGGCGCGCCAAAAAAACGCATATTTTTGGTCATAATTTTCTAAAAAGTGAAAAATCGACCCCCCCCCTTCGAGAAAATCCTAGATCCGCACCTGATGCCATGTAGTCGGTAAAACTTAAAATGAGAAACTTGCCTGATATGTTACAGTCTGGCGCCAGAAAATTCAAGTAGTGTTTTTTACCGTTATAAGTTTTGTGAAACCCTTAACTAGTCGAAATGTTTGGTTGCAATCAAAATAAAAATAATAATAGAATTCGACCAGATAAATGAAAGCAGACATTGATAATTGATTTTTTTTTGAAAATTACGAGCAGTTGGGTACGTTAAAGGTAAAAACATGTACCAAAAAAGATGAGGTAAACTTATATGTTTTGGCTTATAAAGTAGGCCAAAACGCTCGTCAATTTTCAAACAAAATCAAATGTCAATGTCTGCTCTCATTTATCTGGTCAAATTTGGAACAGTTTTTTAACTGAACTAATTTTTGCTCATTTTTGAAGATTTATTTTAACACAAAGGTTTATATTTCCTCAAAACAAGGTATTACTTCAAGTGTATGACTAATTACTAGCGTTTTTTCATAAGCTCCATGGAATTGTATGGCCAGAGTTTTCTGTGTGAGTGGTCAGTCCGGTGTCTGCAAGAGTTCGAATAAGATGTAACGCTTAATCCACGTTGACTTTCAATTGCGACAGAATAGCAAAAATTGTTAAAAACCAAACTTTGGATCAAAAGAAAAGTATTCGGAAAAATTCAAAATAAAACAAGGAAAACCGTTTACTGTGCAAGTAGCACAGAATGTTCCGACCATGGTCTCACAAACAATTCATAAAGTTTTTTTTCTTCAAATTACTGTTTTTTCTGCGTGGTGTGATAAAAAATCGGCGTAAAATTTATTTAAAGCATAATTGACACAAATTTTGTTTCTATAAACTCCAAAAGTTTGTTTTATTTGCCTAACGCTAAAGTTTAAAAACCTAAATTAAATATAATTAGGCTGTTGCTAGCCTGCTTGCTCGCTTTTTCTCTCAAAATTGAAATCAAAATCAAACTTTTAAACCAGTTTTTCTCTATATTGAGAAAACCTTTAACTTTTTTCAAATTGACCAAATCACTATGAAATGAATCACTCGAATGAAAGAGTTTCGTTTTGGTAAATCACTCAACTCTTTCCGATGATTGTTTTTTTTACTTGATTTTGTGTGGAAAACTAGAAGAAAAAATAAAAAATAAAATACAACCGAATACAACATTCATGCTCATTTATCAAATTGTCGGAACAAAAAAAAAACAATTGACCCTTCACAATATTTGTGTTTTTTCTCTCTTATTTGAATTACTTGATTTGTTTTGAAATTTTGTGAGAATAGATGTTTTTGAGAATGGATGTTTTTATTTGCAATTAGTTTCTTTTCAATTGAGAAGTTCTCATAAGTTTGTCTCTTCAAAATGAAGTGCTCTTTGAAGATGGATTCCATAATATTTTTTTGAAAGATTGTGATAAAATCAATTTTTTTCTGAATGATATATAATAGTGTTTGGATCTACATAACAAATCCCCCTGTGGTATCTGTTACAAAATGTACACCCCAATAAATAAAAGCAGTAAAATAGCAAAAGTGCTTTCTAGCAAAAATTCTAATTGGTAAATTTTTTCACTGATTCAATCTACTTAACAATCTTGAAGAAGGAAGATGGTTAGATATTTCCGTTTTAAATTTTTAAACAAAAAACTGTCCGGGATGGAATTTATAACTCAAGCTTTGACCGTGCTAAGGAAATTCACAAGAAGTTTACATTATTTTTCAATTCATTGGTTCCATTTCCAATAAATTAATTCTGAAAAACCAATTTGAATTGGTTTTTTGTCAATTGACGGGCTGTGACTGAAAAATTAAATAATTAACTTAATTGTCTGTTTCATCAAAAGTTATGTTATTTTTTGTTTAAAAATCGTTTCATCAAAAAATTGACAATTATCATTTAAAAATAGGGCCTGGCTGGAGCTATCAAACCGTCAGTGCAACTTGCAGCGCTGCTAGCCAGGTTTTAAAAAAAATCATCGACGATTCGTTTTTGTTTGATTCCTTGTGTAATTTATAACCTCTAAGGTCTTTAGAACTTCTAGTCTTTTAGAAAAAAAAAGTTAATTTAATGTCTTTTAGGACTGCTTTTGAGTTCTCTTTCCTCTCAGTTTTTTTCGTTTCCGTTTTTTTGCGTATTTTTGGTCACTCGTTCGCATTGACCTCTTCTATATAATTTCATTCTGTGTTACAACTGTTTTATTTGTTTTATTTGAATTTCATTAATGAATCTTTCATGAAAACTAGTTTTTGTTTATTTTTAAGAACAGTATGGGTAGCAGACACATATTATCTATAACACACACACAAACACACACACAACCTATGCCTTAATTATTCATGCAGCAGATTACCATAAACGCAGATTCATCTGCTAGATTGTACAGATCAATAAAAACTAAGTTTTTGATTTTTTATATTCACATTATGGTCAGAATTTGCAAAAATTGGCCAGAAAACTCAAATGAATTATTTTTGATTTATTCATTAATAATTTACATCATTCAAACATCCTAATCGTTTTTGGACAGCGACAAATTAGCGTTATGAGAAAAAACGGTCAAACTCTGTGGCTATCAAACATCAGGGTGTGGATAGTAACTTCAAATCGAGGGTTTTTGCTTCTCATAATTCAGGTACGCAATTTTATTTTTTCAACCATCAAAAAATTGTTCCAGATAAAAAATCTTGGAAACAAAAGAATAAAAAACTGACATGCAATTTTTTTATTTTTTGGTTTTTTGTTTCCAGTAAAAGTAAGTCCAACAAAAACTGACACCTCGTTTCACCGTGGAAACTTGTTTCACTTCCTTTTATAAGACGATAGTATGCCGTCTCCAGTTGAATGTTCACAGAAAGTCATCGATAGTTCATTGAGAATGAATTTTTATGAACAGTTTCAACAAAGATTCAGCTTTCTTAGATAGATTCTAAGCTTATAATAAATCATTTAATAAAGTTCTTAGATTATAACTCACTATCAAAGATGAGACGTTTCATTGATGAATGAGCGCTAAAAGACATTTTTGTTCGGCGATGAAACATCGCTACCTTATCGTTGATAGTTTTTTTCTAAACTTCAAAAATTGTTTCCACCTAATCTTAATCAGAACAAAGAAACCAGAAAATTTTCTTTTCCATCATCCGTTCAAAACTTTTTTATGAGTTTTCTAAATTTTAAATTCAAATTGGCTGCTTTTTGCTAAACATGGTCATTTAAACTAAAAATTAGAGGAAATCTTCAGAAAGTTTCAAATAACACCAAATTGTTTTTTTGTTGCACTGGCTTGGAAGTGGAATTGATTTATGATATAAATTAAATCAAAACTTTCCGGGATGAAAAGATGGCCCCAAATAGTACCTTTGAAACATTTCAAGTAGGATTCCCCTGAGTGGCAGTATTTCTCGTTTTAACTTTTTCGCTAGCACACTTGAAAAAAATTGAAAAAAATGCATCGCTTAAATATGACTTTATACAAACTTCACTCTAAATTCAGTTTTTGTTTTTGCTTTTTTTTCTGCTACAATTTTTTAGGATTTTTTGGTATACTCCGTCAGTTGCCCATGAACTTGTGGAGTGGGTCGCACTGAAGTCATGGTTCCGACCATCCAAAAAACGGAAGAATTGTGTGTTCGGGTATTTTATGTTTTTTCTTTTTTTTCCACGCAAAAGCAGATACCAAAAGTAATCAACGGAATCGATTGACTGATATATCTTATTGAATTTCTTCAAGTCGTGATCGGAACGACTTTAAAGCATTTCAAAAATGTTGCCACAATAGCGGGGAAAATGGTTTTTAGTTTAATTTCAAGAGTGCTTTAGGGATCGAGTAATTTGGAAATTGGCCTTTTCAGCTCAAATACTTGATTTTACAAAAAAAAGTTTGTTTTGAAAGTTACAGCTACCAATTCCTTGGCAATAAAAATATCTTGAAAAAAAATATCGTGTAAACAAATGAAAAACTTTAAAAAATTTTCTTCAACGTTTTTTTTTGCATTTTTCTGATTCATTTTGGAAAAAAGATGCTGTTGATTATGCTAAAATCATTATCTCGGTTTTTTTTCTATAGTTTTTAGGCATGTTTAAAGTTCGCATGAATTGAAAATACATCAAAAAAAAGAAAAACCTTTTGTATAGTTATTTTTGAATGTGCTCGAAACATTCTGTGCCACTTGCACAGCAACGGGCTGTCCTTGTTTCAAATTGACTGTACTATAACTGCATTATAAATATAGTATGAAAGGAAGGGAAATTGTTTGGTTTTATATGAAATAAAATAGTAGCTCAAAGTTTTCATTTATTGAACAAAAATCAATGAAAAAAAATTCAAAACAAAAAACTAAAAACAGCTGTTCGGGAAAATAATGAGTTTTTGTTTTGCAAAAAAAATGCAGTCAAAACACTGTACACCGAAAAAAAAGTTCAGTAAAAAATTTCCAAAAACGTTTTAAGTCAAATCATGCTTCGTTTCGTGTTTTAAGTTAGTAAATTGGGCCTGGGTAAACAAGTCGAACAAACGAGGCTTCAAATTTTGTCTCGAAATGCCTTCAAGACAAAATTTGATTTTTCTTATGACATGAAAGTGTTGTTTCCCGCGACTGATTTTCGTGATTAAAAATAGATTAGCATGGGAAAATAACTTCGATCTCATGGTCATTATAATCCAATCTTATTGCAATTTTAGACAAGAAAAATTTGTTTTTTTCGTCCTTGTATCTGATTGTGTTCAGACAAACACAATCCATTAATGTTCACCATGATGGATTATAATGGATTAGAGTCTCTACCCTTTTATTTGGAAAACTTCTGTTTTACTCAAGGCTAACGCGAGTTGTGAACCTACCCAATTTTTTATTTTCCGTTAAGCCTAACCCCCTCTCCTCCCCTTCCTCATGTCACTTTCCTGAATATTCACCGAGTTCAGTCCAATGGTGTTTGTAATTAGAAATTGGCGTGCTTATCGGTGTGTGTGTGTGTGTGTGTGTGTGTGTTTCTCAGTAAAAAGTGTTTCTCAACCACTCTAAAGCGCCCAATTTTTTTTAAAAAAAAAGATTAGAATGATACGCTAGCTTGAAATGTTATCGTAAAAACTTGCAATGATTCGCAAAAAAATAACTGGAAAATTTAAGGAAAACGAAAGCTCTCAAAGTTTTTAAATAATGTTATAATTATAGAGTTTCGGTTTAAAGAAGGCGCACAAAGTCCTAACCTCTGTTGGCAAGCTCGCAACACGTTGGTACAACTGAGGCGGTGAGTTTTTTGCGAGTTTTCTTTTTTAGACTTGTCTTTTGTCCCCACCAGTTATCGCAATACGGCATAAAATATGCATAAAATTCTTATGCTTAGTTAATAAAGTCGTTGTTACGCATATTTCATGAAAGCGTTGAAAAGTGTAAAAGGGGAATACCAAAGGTGGAACCCTTTGGATCGGCAGAAGCGACGGTTGTCGACCCACGACTTGTCTTTGTTCAACCATAGCCTTCGTTCGGCCGTCTTAAGTTGCGATGAAAACCGGACATCGTTCGACCGTTACGTTCAAATGATGATTCGAACACCTTAGCCCGGAAGGAAGTCCACTTCGCCTACTCCTAAAATCCGCTACTACATAAAATCCATCCGTTTTACGCATTTTCAGCTGATTATGTTTCACTTTTTACTGACTTTTCTTGGACCTGAATTCCCTGTCTTAAATAAATCATGCTTGATATCTGTAGATATTCTTTGTTATTTTTTGATCTGACTTTCAATTGTTTTCGAGTGAAAAACTCAGTTATTGAAAAAAAGTTTCTGAGGAATCATTTTCCATAATTACATGAACCGGCGCCCTGAATTAGAAATATAGAGAATCTGCCATTACTTTTTGTTAGTAAGTACGTGGAAAAATTTCCATTTCCTTCTAAAAACCCTTCAAAATAAACCCACGGAAATTATCATTCTTGCAAACAAAAGGTTGTTAAATACAGTTTTATGGTTCCGTAATTTCAAGATAATTGTAGTTTAAATATTGTGGTTTAAATTTTTTCAACTTATACTTATAGGTTAGCTTAAGGTTATGTTTAAAAAATTTGAATCCAAACTTTTATTGGGATCCAACTAGCACAATGAAAAAGTAAAATCAGTGTTGATGTCTATTTTCTTTTGGCTGCTTGATAACTTGTCTTCTTTTCAGACCATTTTGAACTCGGGGACAGTTCAATTTTCTAACACTATCAACAAAATGGCTCCACTAGGCTTTGAAGACATAAGAATGAAGTTCTCTGATTGCATAATTATTGCCCTTAATCGTATAATTCCCGAGAGAGCTTACATTTTTCAATTTTTATGTTAATTTCTAGAGCCTTTAAAGGACACAGAGCTGGTAAGTTACTGGATGAAAACATTTTCAGTAGAAGAGTAAAAAGACATTTTCAAAGTAGAATAACATTTTAAAAAAAAAGTTTCATTAAAGTTTTCTGCGATTTTGGATCTATAGTTTTTCATTTTGTTGACTTGTTTTTCCATTTTCAAAAGAGTTTTGAGGAGCTATGACATAGCACGAGTTTTTTTTTGGTGAGTTTAAACTACCTCAAAAATCAGAGGGTGAAGTGAATGGTCTTATTAAAACCGTTTCAAGTGACAGTCGTGTTTGATGAGAAAAATTTGCTGGAATGTTTTGCATCAGATTTAAACTTAGAGAAAAGTCCAATATAATGATGCATGGTTTGTTAACATATGTTGTGAAGGCATATCACAATTTGTGGACTCACCACCTCATTTTCAAAAAGTATTTTTTTTTTGAAAAAAGTTTCGAGAAATTAAAATTTAGAAATTTTATTTTAAAAAATAAACTTTAATTTTTGCTGTTAAAAATGACATTTGTGATCGGAACATTCGTTGCTACTTGCACCGCCGGCACTCTTATTTGAAAAAAAAAATTGGAATCACATCAAATTTTCACTTTCATGTTATTGTCTGCTTTCGAATCTTCCAATAAAAATCGTTAAAATATTTATTTCATCGAAAGCCCTAGCGGCCCCATTTTCGTCACAAAAAAGAACGAAAAAAATTAAAAGTAGGCGGAATTTAACTGGTATATTTTTTATTGTTGTTTTTATTTGTTTTCTGCAACAAAATTATGCTTTGAAAAGATATATGAAAAGAATTGAGAAGTGCGAAAAGGTGGCGATTTTTGGGAGATTTGAAATGTCGGAGTCACTGCGGTCATTTAAACCGAACAGCAACTAAGCCGGAAAAACTACTATTAACCATTAACCCATGGACCTTTCAAACTCCTCGTTTGTCGGAACATCAAAGCTGCATAGTAAGAACGTTTATCCACAAGGGAAAGGACCAACATACGAGCTGTTCAGCTCTTCACGAAGAACCGCTGTTGCACCCTGCTTAAAAACTACATGCAATTTTATTACAGGCTGGGTATTTTTGCCTCTCCCTTAAGCAACGAGCACGGATCATGGTGGGCCTCGAACATCCGACCCTTCGATTGAGAGGCGGAGACATAATCACTTATCCGCCGCTCCCCTACATGAAAAAAAACTAATATAGAAAATTTTTTGAAAAATAAAATTTTTCGGCTTTGTTCATTCGGTCCAATGAGCCCGATTGGTTTTTCGGTACACTGACCATTCGGGTGTGAAGTTGGGCAAAAATGAGGCTCCTCCTTAACCTTCGCGCCCTCTTATCCTATTTTCCAACGAATATCCAAAAAATTCAGCCTTTTGAATCACGTCCGCCTCCAAAAAGATGGTCAAGTATTATGTCATTGAGGCTAGCGCAACTTATATTACGTAATCTTGGCCTCAAAAATGACAATATTTTGTATTTGCAGGGAATGACGGGAGAATCAGCAGTTGATAATTTATGGGGAAAATAAAACGGAAATTATAGGCGGCTATCGACAGTGTAAAAAGTCACAGTCCCCGTTTTTTTCAGCCCCAAAACAGTGGCTTAAAAATTAAAGGCCAGCTTAGCGCACAGAAAATCCCCGCCTTTTAATGGGCTACTAAATTTGGTGGCAATTTACTGCACCGCCTGCCGCCTTGCAGTGACCGAAAAAAAATACACAATTTTTCATTTCTCTACCTTCATTTTTAATACCAATTTCACCCGTCGCATTCATGAATTCATGATGGAGTTCAATTTGTTTGTTCGAATTGTCTCCACGTTTATCATGGCTCCGTTTCGAGTCACCGATTTTGTTGCCTTTAATCAGTTATGATGAGTTCGATTTATTAGCAGGGGGTTTTCCCTCATTGCATATTACCGCCAAAGGTAAGTAGTTTTCTAATTTTGTATTTAAAAGTTTTTTTTACAAATTAAGGTTGACATACTTTCGAGGTCGAGACTTGACCTCCAAATTTTTGCATATTAATTGAAAAAAAGAGCTATTTACATACTCCGCATCTCTGAATTCTATCAGCTAAAAGATAATAAATACATGGGAAACTGTAAAATATCTTTGCCTAGCAACATTTAAAATTTTATTGTATTCAATTCAAATTTCAAGTTCAATTTTAAACTTGTCATATTTGTGTGACAAAAAATTAAAAAATTTAGTACTATTTTCAAACCGAATCATTTAGTACTATTTTGCGACAGGAATTTTCGGCTGATCGACAATTAGATTTTTCTAAAGGAGCTTTTGGCACCAATATATATTAGTTTTGAGTGTGAGCGCAAAACCCTACGAAAAGTTCCTAAAATGCGCCTATTGAACTTTCTTTTTCAAAAACTTGCATGCAGCGAGACATTGTTGTCAAAATAGGGTTCCTAGGGTGTTTTTGGTGAGCTTGGAAAATAATTTGATCGTGGTCGACAATAATTTCGAGAAATTTAAATTTTGCAAAGAATTTCCAACCTGAAAAAAAAATGGTTTTCCATCCCTACACTTTCTGTTGTTTTCCTAAGCAAGGAATAAAATCAAAAAGATTAAGAAGCTAGCAAAATAAAAGAAAAAATAGCTAAAATTTTCTAGAAAAAAGCAGGACCAGACTTAAAGCATAAAGCGTATTACTAAGTCTGCCGTGAGAATCAGGCTGAAAAACCAAAAAAAAGTAAGCCCGTTTTTCGGTGATATATTACAATAGGTGGTAATTTTAAGTTAAATAGCTGGATCACTTTTTGTTATACTTCGCACTGTATTTACAAATTTTTTCAGAAGCCAAATTTTTTGGCAAAAGAAGAGTAACATTTGAGTTTTTCAGTAATTTTTTATCTGGCAGAGTAATGTATTTATAAAAACTATTTTAGCAGCATGTACAATTGATTGAAATTGAAATGACTATATCATGCATTTTGTTCTCAAATTTAATGCACCCGGGTTGACCAAAAATGCTAGTCATAGAATTTCCATATATGGAAAAATGCTAGTCATACACTTTCCATGCAATTCCATACGTACAGAAAATTGCATGAAAAGTCTATGATTAGTATTTTTTCATATATGTAAATTGTATGGCTAGCATTTTTTCATATATGGAAAGTGTATGACTAGCTTTTTTTCATATATGGAAATTGAAAATTTAGAAATTTTTCATATATGAAAATTTTATGACTAGCATTTTTTAACAATTAGAAATCCAGCAAAATGAGGCAAAAAAACTACTTTAATCCCCATCCCATACGACGAGCAGTCTCTGAAGAGAGAAGAAAAAACCAGAGAAAATTTGTTTTCTCATAGTCAAGTCTCCTCACACACTGAGAAAGCAGAGCATTTCTTAATCTTATTTTAGGGGGACTCCAAACCAGGAGGGACTGCCTCAGAAAAATTAAAAAAAAACTTGTTAGCTAGCTGAGTAACCCAAAACAAAAAACAGTCCACCAGAGGCATCAATTTTCTGGAATTCTTCTCTTCCAATCACATTTGACATCAACATCTAAAAGAGTTCCCTATAAAACACACTTTTATTTGACACTCAGGTTGAAAAATTGAAACAAACATTTAAACATCAACAAACATTCGAACATCATAAAAATCCTAAATTATTCCCACGTGAGAATTTTCAACTTTTGAGATCACTTTTGAAATCATGTATGAGAAGATGCAGTCAGAAGTTGACCAAGTTATGGCACACAGAAACACCAAATTGTACCGATTTACAAGGTAAAAACTGTGCAAAAACGTGTTTCTAGGTGCCATCGATTGGCTTACTCTCGACTAGGTCTTCTCAGATACGAATCCTCTGATGACCTTCAAAACTTCTTTTGACCAATGCAAAGCGAGTTAGTAAAAACACAAAGGCGAAGCAGAGCTCCGCAAAAAATATATCGCGCGTTAATTGCCCAAAATTTGCCAAAATGGCAATCTTTAAACCCCCATAACTTTACAAAAAATGATCACAGGTAAAATATCTTTTCAAATTTGAGCTCAGGACAACAACACCTTTTGATGTCTGACAAAATCTATTTTAAGCAAACGAGTCACTGCAAGCAGTTCACGTCAAGTTCATCAAATTGATGTGCTGATTTACCTATCTACGATCTGGAAATTTTGGATAAGCTGATTTACCTATCTGTAAAAACTGTGCAAAAACGTGTTTCTAGGTGCCATCGATTGGCTTGCTCTCGACTAGGTCTTCTCAGATACGAATCCTCTGATGACCTTCAAAACTTCTTTTGACCAATGCAAAGCGAGTTAGTAAAAACACAAAGGCGAAACAGAGCTCCGCAAAAAATATATCGCGCGTTAATTGTCCAAAATTTGCCAAAATGGCAATCTTTAAACCCCCATAACTTTACAAAAAATGATCACAGGTAAAATATCTTTTCAAATTTGAGCTCAGGACAACAACACCTTTTGATGTTTGACAAAATCTATTTTAAACAAACGAGTCACTGCAAGAAGTTCACGTCAAGTTCATCAAATTGATGTGCTGATTTACCTATCTACGATCTGGAAATTTTGGATTCTTTTGTCAAATTTGGTTTTTATTTCTAAAAAACGCTAGTCATACAATTTTCATATATGGAAATTGTATGACTAGTGTTTTTTATTTCAAAAAACGAAAATAAAAAAAGTCAAAGTTTCAGTTGTAGCAGCCCAAAAAACGCCTAAATGTTTTGCCTGCAGTCAAATTGATTGTTCAAAGCGTTTTTTTCAAAAAAAAATTTTTTTTAAATGCTAGCCATACAATTTTCATATATGGAAATTGTATGATTAGAGTTTTTTTCATACCATTTTGTCCCTTTTTTTAATGAAGAGATACCAATTTCGATACCAAAACAACAATAAAATACCTTTGAAATTCGATTAAACTCATTTTGCAAAAATGTATGAAGTTTATATGACTAGCATTTTTCCATAGACTAAGTGTATGAAATTGTATGATTAGCATTTTCGGTTTATGGAGGTCACCCCGGGCATGCACTATACTTAAAATTACCACCTATTGTAGCATATCACCCGTTTTTCTTGATCCACGGGTTTTTTTTGAAAATTATGTTGGTGTCCAAATGGTGACTTCAAGATTTTATAAATTATACAACACTATTTCCAGAACAAATAAGACCTCCGTGGAGAAAAACAAAATGTTTTTGCTGACCAAATGCAAGCAAAATGAAGATTTTTTTTGAGAATTTGTGTGTGCATGTATGTGGACTAGGGTACCAGCAAAATTTTTTGTTTGTAGCATAATAATAGCATAAATTTTTGTTGGTAGCAATTGCAACGCCTTGCACCTCAGGGATTCGAACCCCTTGCCAACCAAAGTGTCATTAACTGACAATTTTTGAAAGAAAATTAATAATTCTGGATTGCTCATTTATGTGAAGAATTTTCTTGATCCGCCTCTATACTGTCAATTTTCTTCTGCAGTAATCAAAAAACTATTACGTCATTCAAGTAATTTATGATTGGAAGATTTAAAAACTGACGAAAAAAGGAAAATCATCTTTTCTGAGCCACTGGCTTTGTTTTTATAAATCTGTCAGTAAAAAATAAAACAGCGGATTGCTTTAAATAAAACTTAGCGGTTCATTTATTTTTACTATCACATTTTTTGTTTGGTCAGATTTCGAAGCCGAATCGATTTTAAATTATGCCTACTATTTTTTTAGTGAGAAAAAGCTTTCGATGTGAAGTTGCCAAATTTTCAAGCAGATTTGCTAAATTTCAGTTCTGGCGTACTTCAATTTGATTATCGAGAAGAATTTTTGGCAGAGGCCACAAAAAAATCTTCAAGTTAAAAATCCCTGGAGGATTTTGCAAAATCAGCACTTGAGCTTTAACTCTAGTTTTCTTTTTGTAGCCATGTCTCGAGATTTAAACAAATTATGTGCCTAATTGAAACAGAAGTTCTATTTCAGATGCACTACCGTCACTAAACACCAAATCTTGCAAAGGCCTTCTTTTCTGATGGATAGAAAATAGCCCAGCGTTTGAACTTATAAAACAGATTTCCTAATTTAAACTACTCGAATGACCCAATAAGTTAAATTTCCATTAACTCCATTGCAAATTAAATTACGCTGGAGAGCAAATTCACTTTACAAATAAATCAGTTCATTCGATTTGCTTGTTTACCCAATTTCAACGAAGAGTTTTTTGACAAAAAAACAGACAATCGAATGTTATTTATTCCATAATTTACTTCTTACAATTTGAACCAATTCTTTAAAAAATTAAGATATGCATTACCATCTCTGAACATAATCTCTGCCTGACGACCCAAAAGTTTTTACCCTCTTGGGAAAACTAAGAAGCTAAATGTCAGTTAATTGATACAAAAATGTAATGAAATATCTCACAAAATGCTCTACAGACAGAGATTCTTATTTACTTGCTTTTTTCTTTATTCCGGAATTTACACCCAGTTAAAAGCGAAATTCTAAAAATTAACCCCCCTTTTAATGGCAATATAGGTGAAAAGGCAGAGAGGAAAAATTTTCATTCTTCTTCTAAACAACTATTAGAATCATAAAAGCACCAATCTAAATTTTTTCGATAAATCATTAATTTCTCTAACTTTTAGCTGCTTTATCTTAGCTTAACTATTATAGATTTGAATAACTGAAACCCTTCTCAAATTAATTTTAAAAAAATGGTTAAACAATTTTTGAAATTTTTTTCCAAAAACGTACCAATATTTTCTTAATTGATAATAACAAAGTTTAAACGCTAATTTATTGTTCCAGACTTTCACTTTCTTGTAAAAAAAACTACTGGTAATTCGCTTGCTTTGATTTTTTTCTGACATTTTGAATCAGAATTTAACCAGAACATATCATTGATGGTTGAGTTAAAACTCTGAAAAATTATCTTATTTTACCTTAAACAATGGCTACTTCCGTTTATTTCCTTTAGAACTGAAACTTTGATTATTATTCCAAAAAATAAAATAAATCTTGATTACTTATAATGAGGCCAAGTTATGGGCCATTTGAAAGAATTTAGTCATGGAAATCTAAGCAACGCTTTTGCGATACTTTCTTCTACAAAAATTGAACCCAACTACCATCAGTTTAATTATATAACAACATCCAACAGCTTAACAATTTCCTATCGGCAGGTGACATACAAGAGAAGTCGTCGACCATACATTTGGAGTCCCGAAACTATGGCCAGTTTAGTAGTTTTGGCGGCAGTCTCCTGTCAGGTATGCACGCAATGATTCATGAAAACCAATCTTAGACACCTCCTAGAATTAGTCAAATCATCTTATAGAGAAAAGACGGTTTGACTTAAATAATTGCCAGACTTCTGTTGTTCCGCTTTTTATTTAAACAACATTTTGTTAATTTAAACGCACCTGAAACAGTTTGCTATCTTGTCAAAAAAATAGTTATCTAACTGAAATGCATGCGCTAATTTCTGGTTTAGGGATCTAAATAGATGATATTTTTTTCAAGTTTTAATGAAAACTCATGAAGGAAAAAATCCATTTGATTCCAAATATCGGCTTAAAGGGCTACGAAAAGCGCGTTTCAGAATTATTCTTTCCTTTAAATCAAGTTTTATTTTCGGTTTTTAGTGATTTTTGTGGTACCTTCATTTTTAATGATGCCTTTATTTAGGTAGCCATTCGCAACAATTTGCACTTCTGCAATAGACAGGTCATATTCATCTTTGGCGAAGTTTTTTTTTGTCTTTTTAAACTCTTTCATTAGTTATTTTATTATGATTGTTATTATGATGATAATATAAGTTTAATGTTTTTCTACAACATTGAAAATTCGTTTGGATTGTCACCTGCGTCTTTAAATTCAGAGTAGAACCCAGCAACCCATATGGGTTCGTCAGCTGTTTTCTCATAGTTACTCATATTTGATATGTTCATTAGTGTACAGTGCTGATTTAAATTATCCGGACAAAAGGAAAAAAGCTTGAACTTTCAAACACGTTTTACTCAAATTGGGTTAACTTTGACAAAAATCGAAGAGAACAAAAGTAGCTTAGAATTTCATCAGAATTAATATGATGAAATTTTTTCTTCGAAATTCTCAATCCAAATTTTACCCCAAAAATGGGACATTTTGGTTTTGTTCGATTATTCAAAAATTACGCTGAAACTACTTTGTTAATTGATAAAAAATATACATCACAAGAAGCCTTTTACACAGCCCAACAAAAGTTCCAAAAAAGTTTAATCTCCAAAATTTTGCGTAAAATGTTGAAAATTTGTTTTTAAGCAAAGATTTTGGTTTTTATATAGTGAAATCACATACCTTGACTATCAAGCAAAAATATTTTCTCTTACACAGGTTTTTGGATTTAACCCTTCTAAAAATTTGTTGAGCTGTGTGATATATATATTTTTGTCAATAAACAAAGTAGTATCAGCTTAACTCTTGATTGATCGAGCAAAACCAAAATGACCCATTTTTGGGGCAACATTTTGGTTGAGAATTTCGAAGACAAAATTGCACCCAAAAAATTTGATAAAATTCTCAGCAATTTTTGGTCTCTTCTCTTTTTATCTGATGTTAACCCAAGTTGAGAAAAAATGTGTTTGAATTTCAAGTTTTGTTCCTTTTGTCCGGATAATTTAAATCAGCACTGTATAATTACTACGATGAGAAATTAATTCATCTTCTTAGTTGAATAGTAGTTAAATGTTGTTGTTCCGGTATTATGAGTAAGTTTTTTTTTAAAAAAATTCAGTTTGATTAGTCATTGTTCTAGTTTTTATTCCAGTTGTTTTTGTTTTGTTGGTTAGATCTGCTTCCATCATGTGAAATCTTTCCTTATGTTTTCATTATGCTCTGAAATCAAGCCAATCAAAAAGAAACAGAGAAACAAGTTTTTTTATGATTTTTGTTTACAAATAGGTTTACACAAAAAAGGAAACAAAGACAAAAAAAACGATATATACAAGAGTCATAATCACCAGAGCAAAATTTATTTAGTGATTTAAAAAACGCAAAATTGAATTCATAAAATATTAGCAACTTTATACAGGAGTAGCGGTTTTGATTGACACAGATTGTTTCGACCACAATCTACTACAAATCGGTGTGTCTTGGCAGGTGGTCTAAAACCAGTTCTTTTTGTGAGAATGACTGGAATAAAAAAAATTTAACAAAACAACGCGCAGATTTGCAGAATGATGAAATGATGAACTGTGTTCGATGTGAAAACTGAAGAAATATACCTATGAAAAAATTAAAGGAGGGCGAGAGCAAAAATTGAAGAGTATGATTTTCTATAAAGAGGTACTGAAAAACCAATGAACAGAAAAATTGTTTTAAAATTTTATTACTCTATTCCAAAAGGCAATTGGAACATTAGAGTCTTCGCCCTGATACGAGCAGTTTTGTTTCTTAGGGCTCCAATTCTAAAAAAGATACATCTTTTTATCATAAAGTACATTTTGTGCGTCAAAAATCTACCTTGTTTTTCCAATTCCATGCGAGTGGTTGTTGAATCAGTAGCCTATTTTTGTTGAAAACAGATATTGATCTCATGAAAATCTACCTTGTTTTTCCAATTCCATGCGAGTGGTTGTTGAATCAGTAGCCTATTTTTGTTGATCAGTGCCTATTATATTGATCTCATGGAAAACGGAAGATGTTGCTTGTACAATTTTTTTGCGATAAAATAGATGTCCTTAAAAGTACCGTCGAAAATTTTTTAGGTAGATCAAAATGGTTTTCCGAGCTTTCCCCAAGCACTACAAAGACCCTGAAAGAACCTTGAAGACGTTTTTTGGCATTTTTGGGAAGTTTTCACCAAGAAGTTGCGTTCTTTCGGCGCGCGCTGACCCCTCCTAAAACTTGGGGTTTCCAAAAATGGATATCTCAAAATAGTACAAAGGGGGACCCTTTGGGTCGGCAGGTGGTTCCCCTCAGAGATTTGACTCTCTCTCAAACCAAAAGGTCCCCTTTGGTATTATTTTATGACATCGATCGGAGACCAAAACACCCTAAAATTTAGTACCACACTCCCCTTGGGATAACTAAATTTTTTATTGTATACTTATAAAATTTAAAATAACCATGAGTTTTAGTACTCAGTTTTAATCAGTTTTGAACAGATTTTTGATCTTCTGCAGGAACCCTCGCGTTTCATTTTTCCTCTGGTCTATTTTGTTCCTCTACCAAATTGTCATCAAAGTTTAGGGGGACCCGCCATGCAGCATTCCAGGTTTTTGCAAGGTTCAGTGCCTCGATTCCAAACTTTCGATGAAAAAGATGTTTCAAGCAATCCTAGTTTCGTCTCCACCGGCTTGTTTACATCAGTTTTAAACGTTGCCAGTTTAATCCTGTACGCCTCCAGCGCCGCCTTATTGAGATCTGCGATATCCTGCTGTGTAGTAATGAGTTTGACTGAATGTTTGACAGGATTTCCATATCGACTGGGACCTTTGTTTTTTGTCTGCCTTCCACTGCGTCTCACAGTTACGTCGCTTTCGCCTGATTCGTCTGAGAATCCTTGGGCTGCGTTGTTGTCTTCATCGCCGCTCGTGTCCATAGTTTTCAAAACATTTTCTGCAGCCCTCTGCACTCCTCTTGTCAGGACCTGGTCGGCTAACAGATTCCAGTCCTCTGGGATTAGGTCGCGGCTATGGAATGTTTCCAGTATTTTTTCCGCTGATGTCATTCGAGCTATTTCTTTGCTCTAAACTTTCATCTCCTTCCTTGGGGTGGACGTGTTCACCGTATAAGCTTTCGCCGTAGTTGACAGTTTGTTTGTTTCCTCATGTTCGTCTGTTTTGTTTTTCTGACTTACTGCTGCTGCAGCTTTTTGTTTTCTCGCCCCTTGACAAGTTCGCTTTTTGTCCTTTTTTCTGACTCCTTTTGGTTCCGAGCTACTCGCGTTTCCCAACACTGGATCAGCATTGTTGGGTTTGGCCCTCTTTATTGCAAAGTTCAGCCATCCATTTACCTCTATGTCTTTAGATGTTACATTCTGTTGGCTATCTTGGTATAGCGCCGCTGTATTCTCCATTTCCGATCTCTCCTGGATTTCAGGCTTTTCTTCTGACTCGCTGTTTGTTTTTTTTGTTCCGCCGTCTTTTTTCCTTGTTCTTGATTTGGGTTCGTTTCCATGAGGGCTTCTTCTTGATTGAACTTTTTTTTGGCTTTTGTCTCTGAGGTCACCGGTGTCATTTTTTGATTCGGCGATATCGCTCTTTTTAAAGATTGCCCCCGCCGCTGTTTTTACTGTGTGTGGAGCTTCCGATTGAACTTTCCGCTTTAAAGGATTCGTTAAAACCTTCCCGCTCTTCCTGCTTTCATCTTTCCTCAGTAGATTTGGTGATCTTTGGCCTTCCTCTTCTGGCTTGTCCTCGATGAAACCGTATTCCCACGAGTATAGGAGCTCTTTTCTTAAATATGGGTTAATTGTGCTCGTCGCGTCGTTTATCCGCTTTATATCCTTAGCTGACATGTCCCTCCGGGTCGTATTCCATCGAGCATTTGCTTCGAGCAATGTCTTTAGGGCTTTAGCCCGGTGTCTGTCCTCTGCTGCTTTGCCCTTTTCTCACAATTTTGACGCTATCCCTTGACTGATCTATCTGTCTTTTTAGTTGTGAAGCAGTGAGGGCTGAGCGCTCCAGGTGTTCCTTATCTAAACGATCAAAGTTTTTAATGAACTTATCCCTTAAGATTTTGAGCTCAGTTTTTGGAAGTCGTCCAAAATGAGCTTCGAATGGGGAGCAGTTGATCGTTTTTTGTTTGCTACATCTAAGATCTCGAATTATCGTGCTAGGAGCAAGTTTTATTGATCTTACATTTTCGTCCAATAACAGAAGTCCCAGTCTTCGTTTGATGGTTTGTATGGTTCGTTCGACCAGACCACATCCCCTGTGGTCCCCCACTGGGCAGAATTTTTGATCAATGGGCAGAATTTTTGTTAAAATTTGATAGCTCGTTTGAGAACTTCATCTGGTGCGAATGTTTTGAATGTCAATATATCTTGCAATGCAAAACTTTTCAATCGGGATATGAATAGATCTCGGACCAGTTCTTCTTCCAATCCACCCAATTCGGCCGTGGCTGCTTGTGCAGTTAGTGCCACATGAAAAGACTCCAAGGTCTCTCCGGATTCTTGTGCTCTGCTGAATAATCTATATCGCTCATACGTGTTGTTTTTCGTTTTTTCAAATGATACCTTAGCCAATCTCACCATGTCTCTGAACTCCAGTTTTGATATTTC